GACAGGTAGCCAGCGCAGCTCGCGGAGGATAGGTGTAATGCGGGTGAATCGGGGTGCACCCGCAATCACTCGCAAGATATTGCTTATCTCTTTTCTTTCTTGCATATAATATTGCTGTATATAATAGCCTAAACACAATGGGCACTTATAACAGATAATTCTGTTATATACCACAATTCTATCCTTAGTGCTCAAACTCCTGATTTCTTAAGACAATCTAAAACATAGATGAGTGAGAGACTTAAATTTTAAGAAAATGGATATTAATAAACCAGAAAAATGATAAATGAAATCCAATGACAGGAGGAACTAATAGGAAATAGAGCTCAAGATGAAAGGGAATTCCTAAAAAAGAAGATACTAATATCACAATTTCAGTTAGGAATAAAATGGAAGACAGCAGAAGGCAATATGACCGCACAAAAGCTTAGCAAATTCTGAAATACAGAAAAGGACAAATACAGGTGCTACAAAGAAGTCGTCAAGTTAGAACAGGAGTCAGCAACCTGCAGCTTTGGAGCCGCATGTGGCTTTTTCATCCCTCTGCCGGGGCTCCCTGTCACTGGTTGGTGCCATAATTGATAGGGCTTTCGATCAGGACAGGTAGAGGAAGGATGCCACGCTAGGAGGGGACTCCATGGTGGAGGAACCAGACTTTTGGTCAGCAGAGGAAAAAGGAGGCCATGCTAGGAGGAGACTCTATGATGGGGAAACTAGACTTCCGGTTGGCTCCAGAATTGATTGGGGAGTGTCTGTTTAGGACCTTTGTGGCTCTTTGAGTGTTTAAGGTTGCCGACCCCTGAGTTAGAGCACAAACAGCTAAGAATTGTAGTAATGATGTGAAACTCAGGTGAAGCTTGGCAAACAATGCTAAGAACAACAAAAAAGGTTTATTTGGATACTATTAAAATAAAAGATAGAGGAATCAATTTAATCATCATTAAATTGTATTAGCTGCTCAGTGATGAGAGAAAAAGTAAAATTCATGAAGCAGTACTAAAGGAAAAGAATGAAAGGGCAGGATTGAAATGTCAAACTGACAGAAATATAAGTCAGAGACTCTGCTTTGATTCTCCAAGGTCAAATGAATAGCCTTTAGTTTACCAATGAAATTTGCTGATGGTCTGTTGAAACCTTTATGTAGTAACTTTGAGAAATCCTAGAAAATGGATGAAATGCCAGATGATTGAAGAAAAGCAAAACTGTTTCTATCGTCAAAAGAGAGAGAAAAAAAGAAGATCCAGGGAGCAACAAACCACTCAGTCTGGCCTGAATATATAAGAAAATGATCAACTTGTAAGCACTTTGAAAATAATGCAGTAATGATTACAAATTAAATTTTTTCCCAGACTATCCTAACAGCAGTTTTTGATTGGGTAATTTCTTTTGAAGATTAGTGGAATAATATAGATAAAAGACATCTTGCTTCCATCAAAGTATCTGTTGAACTAACCATAATGTTTAATTAGCAAGATAGATAAAATGTAGAATGAATGGCATGACAATTAATTGGACACATCACTGGTTCACAAAACATATACTTCATCAAACTGGAGTGACATTCGAAGGACATAGAGTGCCATTTGAAGGGCCTGTAGTCACAAACATTTTTTTAATTAATGCATTGGATGAAGAGGTGGAACAAAATTTCTATCTCAGATGACAAAAATAAATTCACACAATCTGTAGAGATTCTCAGTCATCCAGGTCATGGTTGCCTCAAAGGTGCTTTTTTTCAGGAAACAATTGGACTTTTTTCTTTTTTTCTTTTGAAGATGCTTCGCTTCTCACCCAAGAAGCTTCTTCAGCTCTCACAGAATAGTGGGGAATGGAAGGATGTGAGTGCTCTAAAAGGATGCAAATTACCAGCTGTCTGCAAGGAATATAAATTGTTTCATTCCCCATTATCCTGTCAGAAGCTTTTTGGATGAGAAGAGAAACATCTTCAAAATAAAAAAAAAACAAGAAAATCCAGTTTCCACCTGGGAAAAAAAACTCATTTGGGACAAAATTCACACAATCTCAAATGGGCTGTGAGAAATGGGTTAAAATGAAAATATAAAATGTAACGGAGATAAATGCAGTTTTTTCTTTTTAGGAAGCACAAATCAAAATAGGGGATTCCTGGCTAGGCAATGCTCTTTGTTACCAAATGTGGCCAAGGAGCAAATTCAATATTAGGGTGCATCAATATTAGGGTGTAGTTCTTAAATCACACAAACAGATTCATGTTATTCTTTGTTATTCATTTTTCACCTTGCTAACCTGCATGCAGTTAAGAAGGATTTAGATAAATTGCAATTTGTTGACAGAAGGACAAAGAAGATAATAGGAGACTTGAAACTAGGTTTTGTGCAGAGAGTTTGAAGGAACTGGAAAGATATAGCCATGAGAAATTAAACCAGGATGAAATTACACTGGGGAGGAAAAAAAACCTGCATAAAAGAATGTTAAGATATGTTTGTGATTGCCCTAGAGTGCAGAATATGGAATAACAGATTTAGCTTGCAAGAAGGCAGTTTCTTAATAATATTTTTTTAAAAAAAGGATGACATGCATGGTTCTTGCTACAGAATCAGCTCCCCAAAGGACTGATGGATTCTTTTTCACTGGATGCATTTGGCTGACAGCCAGTAATGTTTTAATTTCAATTCCTGAACTTAACAGCTTTGACAGAATTGCCAACTTCATGATTCTAAAATTAAAATAGTGTTGGAAACAGTTTTATAGCACTCTTGCCATACTGGATAGAAAACCTATTCATGGTAAAAAAATATGTGTACAGGTAGTAAAAAAATGGACTTTTGGGAAAGTTCTTGGCCTGTTAATATGATGTTATTACTGAACATTAGTAAATTCTTTATTAGAGTAACTAGAACTATTTTTAAAACATCAGTTTGAGCATTCCTTACTAGCATAATATTTACACATTTAGCTGGCACGATAGCATACTCATATTTTGCACAATATTAACACTATAAAATATCATTTCAGTCTTTATTTTTATAATTATTTATGGCTCGTCAATATCTCATTGCTATCACATGCGTGTACTACTCCTTTCACGTGTAATGTTAATTTACCTCCTTGGATGGTTTCCTGAGTACATCTCCTACTCCGCCCCCGCTTCTCAGCCCATGACTAAGCACAGTAACAATGCACATCAGCAACGTCTCACATGTATGTTCTTTATCCTCTTCAGATTCTTCAGAAACTAGCTCTATTAAATAAAAGAAGTTTGGGATACGACCATGAGACAGTGGGAGCCTGAAGATCACTTTCATATTTTGTACAAGCATATTAAAGCCAAATAAGGGCCATTTATTGCATCTCTTCCTCTCTCCTATAGTTCAAGAACCTATCTGCAGAACTTTGTGATTCCATGGGTTATTCAGAATTGTCATGTGAAATTTTTTAAAATTGGAAACTTGTCTTAATCTCATCCTACAAGATGACTCATTACATCTGGAATGTCTATACAAGAAACAATGTAAGCATATTTTCAGTGAAAGCATATGAAACATATGAAGCATATGAGGAGCCGAGGTGGCGCAGTGGTTAGAGTGCAGTACTGCAGGCCACTTCAGCTGACTGCTATCTGCAGTTCGGCGGTTCAAATCTCACCGGCTCAAGGTTGACTCAGCCTTCCATCCTTCCGAGGTGGGTGAAATGAGGACTCAGACTGTGGGGGCGATATGCTGACTCTGTAAACCGCTTAGAGAGGGCTGAAAGCCCTATGAAGCAGTATATAAGTCTAACTACTATTGCTATTGCTAAGAAGCATTAGACTATCTCTAATTTCAATTCAGAAGCAAGCATGTCATTAATGTTTTGGAACAAGATACTTTTATAATGCTTTAGCCTTATCAATAGCCCCCAATTCCAACCAACTTAATTTACATATACATAATTTGTCTAATGAAAACTTTGAACATCTTTCTAGTGCACACTTTCATTTGTTTTTGTCTACTGAAAACTTTGAATATCTTTCTGATGCATATTTTTATGTTGACAAAATGACCTGGACTGTGATAATGAACAACTGAACTTTCCCCCCCTACGCACTTTCTGGCTCCTGTATTACCCAATGCCCACTCTTGGTTCTTCCTTATCACTTTATGACAAACTCTGGAGCCCACCTAAGTCTACCCATTTTGAGATAGGAAAAGGCAATATCATCTTGTATAAGTCTTCCTGAATGCAGAAACACACACAACTGCTACCAATTTTCCAGCAAAAATAGTCAGCAAAGTTTTACTCCATGCATTTAACACTACATCAGGACAATAATTCTAGCCGAGTAAAAAAATCAGTTATTGCCACTGATGGTAGCAATAGAGATGGGGGAGCAGTAAAGATGGGGGAACTGAAAAATGTGGAGGGAAAAATTACGCGGGTGAGATCACACTAAAAGAGGCAGTAATGCACAGATATACGTGAATAATTTTATATTATTGTACAAAGGAGATTGGATTATACCATTTGAGAAAGAATGAAATGTTTGTGAGTCCCAAAGAAGCAAGAATTTTTCCACCATTAATGCAGCATCCTAGCGCTCTTAAACTTAGTAAAAAATAAACTGTTGGCCCCCTCAAAGTGATTTTAATTGTGCATTCATTGTACATAGAAACTATTCCATTTGTTTTGACTAGTAAATGTTACACATTAACAAAAATGAACTAGTGGTCTCTTCAAATCACCTGAATTGGGCGCTCTTGCTGTGAAGAAAACATTTCTAATGGTATAAAAATATGTCCTATGTCTCATTTTCCAGGACAGAAATAATTTACAACCTACTGCATGAGTTTATATGTTACATTCCTAGCTTTTCAACGCAATGAGAAATTTTACTGTCCCTCTCCCTCACTGCTAAAAAAAAGTAACAATAAAATGTGATATATATGAGGAAAGACTACATGGTTGATATACCTCTGCTCAGGGAAAACACTGTTGAGGGTAACTTGTAAATAATGTTTGTTGCCTTTAACAATAACAACAAATATTAGGGAACAATAGGAACATAGCAATGTGCGTTCAGTATTCTATTCTTTTTATGATTACGGCATAGCGTCCTTATGCTTCAGATCTCATACATACCACTATTATAGTGTTTGAGAGAGTTGATACATATACGTATACGTACGTATGTACGTACGTACGTACATACATACATACATACATACGAAGCCATGATGAATAAGCACCCAATTATATTAGAAGCATTCAGAAATAATTGCACTTTACAAGCTACTATGTGAAAAAAAAAACCAAATGAAATATACTTGCCGGTAGAAGGAATAACAGAAGAACAATTCTCACCATCCTTTATTTTGCACACATTAGAATATAAGAACTCTCTAGTCATTGGCTCTCCAATTTCATTATGTTGATCTACAACAAGTGGGTAAAATATGACATTTAAATAGTGCTTGAAGTTATTATGTAACTAGCATATCTATTTAACAAACATTGCATTTACTTATTATAATACTTACTAATTTTAAAATAGGTACTATTTCTGTTGAAAAAGCACCAAGAACAGTTTAGTGCAATAGTTATATGACATAGCATACTGTCAACACTGATTAAATTTATAGGGTTTAACATTAAGAAATTCTTAATAATTGTGTAAAAAAGCAAAAGCTATATTGCTTATCTAATTCAGTGAACAGATAGTATTTTTATGCATTTGTTACAAAAGCAAATTATATGATGCTTTAATTTTCCACCCACCAAATATTCCAGAAAAACAATGTGGGAGGTAGGCTATCTTTGTTTGCTACCTGTGATAACGTAAGGCGACCAATGCTAATTCCCAATGCATGTGCGTTTTGTGACAAGTATATAGTCCCTTTGGGTTGGGTTTGAAAATAGCTAGAAGGCAGGTATTCCTATCTCCTACTCTCACCTCTCCATATTTGGCTGGATGGTGGTGATGAAGTAGTGCTATACTTATATTTGCTTAAATAGGCATATTGCCCCCTGGGCAATCTTGTAGGATTCCAGATTTCATAAAGAGCTGTTTTCACATCCAAGTAAACAGAAGTACAAATTATCTCAAGGACTTTAAAGCTGAACCCAGAGAAGTTGGAGAGAGCAAGGGATAGGGATCAGTGGAGGCACTATATGTTGTACCCATTATACATGCATTCCGGTTTTTAATTATTGTCACTTGTCATCTTCAATATATGGATTCATATTAATTCATACATGGAAGGTATTCCAGAAATTATATGCATAAACAGACGTTGCTTTTTGTTATATGGGGAGGGGCATATAAATATAACTAATATCTTCTTGTAAAATATGATATTTGGGAACAACATAATTTACAGAGGGGAGGACTTTTTCATTACATTTTTCACCTATATCATCCAAATCACATTATTTCAATATATACTGTGTATTGAATTAGACTGTACAGGCTACCTGTACATTTATTTTCAGTTATATTTCTTAATGTATACATTTTTACATGTGCTCCTGATTTGCTTTGCAATCTCACTAAGTTAAGTTTTCCAGATACCAAGAACTCAATTTATAAGCTTAATTAACCTAAAGTGCAACTGGTTTTAGCAAGAAATTTCCTGTGGGCTGAAGAGGGATTAGCATTCACAAGATAAATCCTTTTTTTTTTTTGGTCATTTGTGATGTCTTTATTTTTGTTTTGTCAAGAATTGAATACAAACCTGGCAATAGTGTCTCGTTAGGTAGCTTATCTACTTCCAAGATAAAGTCATCCTTGAAGAACAGGTATCCTACTATTGAGAACAGGTAAACCAAAATAAGAGCAAGGACAGCGGTCAAGATGATTGAACGTCCATTGCGAGTGACACTTTTAATGACATTCAGCAAGGTCTCCTCCCTGTACACCAAGTCAAAAAGCTGGAAAAGGACAGTTCAAAATGGTTATTCAAAACATTAACAAATAATGAGGTAAAGGCCTATCATATATATTAACTTTACATAAACAATTGAACAACATGGTTTTTAAATAAAACCCTCAGACTTTTTTTTTAGAAAAGACAGGTCGATCTTTTGTGACATTCTGACTAAAAGCCAAATAGAAGGCCACACCTTGGTAAGCAATTGCTTCAGAATACAAGACACAAATAATAGTCTTAAGTTCCTGGAAGGCAGATCCTGGATGAATATTAGGAAAAGCTTCCTAACAGTAAGAGCAGGGTGACAGTGGAACTAATTATCTAGGGAAATGATGACCTTCCATTTGTTGGATATGATTAAGCAAAGCCTGGATAGGCATTTGGTGGAAATACCTTATTTTCAATTCCTGAACTGATGGCCTTAACAGCTTCTTCCACTCTTGATTCTATGTAAACAAACATAGAGTCCCCAGCAACATTATTATACAAATAAACTGAAAGAACAAAGTTAGTTTGATGACAGCTGTCAGCATTTTTTGATTTCTATTCTAGAAATTTAGATGTTGTATGTTAAAAGCAAAAGAATAATGCACTGGTCATCTAGCTGTAATGTCTCTGATGAATTTGTCTTCCTAAACCCTCTTCAATTTTTAATCTACCTTTTCATCATCATCATCTGGGTTTCTTCTTAAATTTTGAATATTCTTTAGGGGCGAAGGAATATTCAAATCAAACCGGAAAGATTAAATACTTCCTTCCAGCTGATAAAGCAAAAAGTTAAACCTCTTCAGGTTAAGTGTATCTCTCCACAGTCTATAGACAGAATTGTTTGGTTTTCTTGGCAACAGTATGGAAATAATTTGCCACTGCCTTCTCCTGTAATGCTTTTGTGTGTTTACCTTAGATGTTTCTTTAAAAACATCCTGTCTTTATTATTTTTACAAATGACTCAAGGCAGAGAGTATACCTAATATTTCTTCCTCCTATTTTCTTCACAACAACAACCCTTTGAGGTGAATCAGATTAAAAGAGAGTAACCAGCCCAAATTCAGACGCTGGCTTTTATACCTAAGGCAGGTCTAAAATTCATAGTCTCCTGCAGAGATGGGCTTCACATAATTTAACAATCAGTTCATCTAGTGTAGAACCGAAAATGTGAGCCTTCCGTGCTCCCTTGATTGGAGTCTGCTTAGTATTCAAACCCTTATAAGATCAGCCAGATATAACCAGCTGCTGGATATGTGCCACTTTAAATCCACCAAATCACGGGAAACTCAAAATTTCCTAACACAACTTTTTCAATAGCTAATGACTAGCTCTATTATGAACTAAGTATTATTTTCTCCAACTTGAAATGGAAAGAAAAAAACAAAGATCTGGTGGATACTGAACAGGGAACTGTTTTTTTAACATTAATATACATACATAAATATTCTTTACCTCAAGAACTTAATCTTGCAGAAACTTGTATGTTAACTGCTATGAAGCTGTTAGCCAAATCTCAGGACAGATCAAAACTTTTCCCAGACAGTGTCTCTGCCGTTTGATCATTCTCACCATGGCTTCTTGCAAACAACTATATAATTATGTGTAGATTTCCTAGCTTAATGAGCATCTCTCTTGGACTTGATTTTACATGAGTTTTGGAAGGGGAAAGGGATAGCTAATTTCTGATCAGTTTTGTGTCATGGGTAAAACTGATTTCCCAGGAATCAGTAGGTTAACCCATAGCCTCATTGGCATCTACACAACACATTACAATTCAAGACATAGCTCTAAAAAGAACAGATGCTTTCCCTCAAAACAATTGCTAATTAATTTGATGATCTGTAACCAAACCGAACTGACAGGCAGTTTAGTCATTACATGTATCCTTTTAAAATGTGTAATTTCTGCTGTTAATGAATTAGTTTCACTGACATTATTTGGGTTAAGCCTTTTCCCCCCCTCTATCACAGAAAGCAAAAGAGGTGCTCAGGCTTTTAAAAAGTACCTTCAAAGTGGAAATGAGGATGTAAAGACCACTTTGGGAATCCTTTTTTCCCTTTGGAAAGAAACACTCTATAGCCACGATGGCAAACCTATGGCACAAGTGTCAGAGGTGGCACGAAAAGCCCCTTTTGTGGGCACATGGGCCATTGCCAGCTGCTCTTCCGGGTTCCATTGCACATATGCGCACCGGCCAGCTGCTCTCTTCTGGTTCCAGTATGCATGCACACATGCACGCACACATGCACTCCAGTTTCGACACTTAGTGCCCGAAAAGGTTAACCATCACTGCTCTATAGCATTTTACAGTGAAATTTATCAAGTGGCTTAGCAGATGCAGAATTGGTTAAACATTTCTTTTACTTTCCATCCACACCAAACAATTCTTTTAAACACATTTAATCTGTATTGCAACAGATTAAAAAATATATAGTTTCTTAGGTTGTAGAGCTAAAAGAATGTCTTTGATACAGAAATGAAGAGATATCAATGTATTTAGCATCATCCTCTAAGTATGTCTTTCACATCAGAGTGTCACACTGATGTGACAATAATGATACAAATCTTATCTCAAATTGCCTTATTGCAGGGTGAAAGTTGGAAGCCCCTGAAAGTTATGAGTCATAACTGGTTCAATGTTGGTTGATAGATGGAAGTCTTCCAACTTTCTGGTCAACTGTAGGGAGAAAGAGACTGGCACAAGTCACCTAGCCAGCTTCTTCACAAGGAAGGATTAGAATCTGAGGCCCCTCAATCATAGTCAAGGACTTTAACCACTATATAGGCAGTCCTCAACTTATGACCACAACTGAGCCCAAAATTATGTTGTTAAACGAGACATTTGTTAAGTGAGCTTTGCCCCAGTTTATGACCTTTCTTGCCACAGTTGTTAAGTGAACCACTGAAGTTGATAAATTTGTAACAAGTTTGTTAAGTGGATCTGGCTTCCTCATTGACTTTACTTCTCAGGAGGTTGGAAAAGGTGATTCCATAACTGTGGGACCAGTTGCCAAGCGTCTGAATTTTTGTGATCTGTTGTGGGTAGAGTATTACCTGTATTACATTTGCTTTGTGTTTGTGTGTGTGTGTGTGTGTGTGCATGTGGCTGTATATTTACTAAAACTTATAGGTAGTCCTTGACTTACAACCACATTGGAGATCAGATTTCCATTGCTAAGCAAGGCAGTTGTTAAGTGAGCTTAATTTTAAGTTAAGTGAACTTAATTTTATGATTTTCTTTGCTACAGTTGTAAAAGCAAATAACTGCAGTGAGTCACATGAATCTGGTGTTCTTTAAATTAATCTGTCTTTCCCTGTTGACTTTGCTTGTCAAAAGGTGGCTGGGAAGATTACCAATAGCAATCACGAGATTCCAGGATGCTGCAAGCATCGTAAATACATGCCAGCTGCCAAGCGACCAAATTCCGATCATTTGATTGTGGGGATGTCATAACCATCTTAAACACAAGAATTGGTTGCAAGTCACTATTTTTAGTGCCACTATAACTTACAAAGATCTCTAAACAAACACCTGCAAGTTGTAAACTATCTGTAATGTTTATTGACTGAATAATTGATTGATTGATTAATTATGGGTCACCAAGTCAATATTGACTCACATAGATTTTTCTCTATAAAATTTGTTCTTAAACTTGGCCCTTGAGGTCGTCCTATGATTGTGTATGTACTGGAGTTATACTACTATATAGTGCAGATAATCCTCAAGTTACAACCACAACTGAGCCCAAAATTTGTGTTGCTAAGTGAGAAACTTGTTGAGTTTTGTCTCATTTTAAGATTTTTCTTGTCAGAGTGGTTAAGTGAATCACAGCAGTTGTTAATTCAGTAACACGGCTGTTAAATGAATCTGGTTTCCCCATTGACCTTGCTTGTCAGAAGGTTGAAAAAAGGCGCTCATATGACTGCAGGATACTGTGACCGCCATAAATATGAGTCAAGCATCTGAATGTAAATCACATGACTATGGGGATGCTGCAATAGTCGTAAGTGTGAAAAATGGCCATAAGTCACTTTTTCAAATGGTCACTGTTGACTCTGTTGTAACTCGAGGGCTACCTGTATAGTACAGGGAGGGTGGCATGCATACTATGTAGAATTGACATGGTCATCAGATTCGATTGAGACTGGAATTTTTAATTATTTCTCTAGATTTTTAAGGGACTATGATTTTAAAGCATCAACTAACAATTTTTTATAACTTCTTTCCCAATATCATAGAAAGATGTCCTGTAATTTTTCAACAAGTACAATCACAATGGTTTCCTTCAGATCACCACAAAGGTCTCTGGTTATACATGTTTGTCATGAAACACTATGGACATTATGATCAACAAACATTATCATAGGTTCCCAGACAGAAACACTTACCAATAAACTGTAGAAAAATTCATGAACAAAGAGCCCCATTGCACAAATCAGAAGATACAGTAGATGATAAAGAAACTCAACATCAAGGATCATGGCTCTGTATCCTTTAGTAAATGTTCCACAATTACCAACAAAACTCATCAGAAATATAATTTTGTTACAAACCTGCAGAGCAAAAACAGATAGAAGATTAATGCATGGCTAAAATGCTAAGTCTCCATTTAATATAAGACAAGTTTAAAAATTATATACATGACACATATCTGAAATACTGTATCAGACAACTTATTTTGAAATATTTCGTCTTAAGTCTAACACAGCTAGTTTTCTAGGGCACAACCTTAATTTTTTTAATAACAAAATTCCTAGTTTGATAAGTAGACAATTTTTCAACAAATCCTGGAAAAATATATTTTACACTTACATTGAAAGCCCCCAGAAGAAACAATGTGGGCTGTAAACCTACAGAAAAAATTAATCGCAATATTGTAGAAGCTATTAGAGCCCTAATGCCATGGGGCTTAGGTAAAGCGATAACAATGGCAAGTGATATCAACAAGGCCGTCCAGAGTAAGCCTGATAAATGGGGCTCCAGTGTACCTGGCAAAAGAAAACATCCAGAAATCATTATTATTTATTTTCCCCTCATATGGCTCCACAGAGCCCTTGCCATTATTAACAACAATTTAAAACAATGCAGCATGCCCCAATATCCTCACAAATTAAAAGCAGAGTAAAATATAGGAAAGCTGCCCAAGAGATTCCAATATATGGGCAATAGGTCAGTCTTTTTCCATACAAATGAACCAAGGTTTATTAATTCAACAATTACCTTATGAATCTTCTGAAAACAAACTTATGGATAAACTGGCCCAGCTTGGCAGTTACTTTCAGGGAACATTTCCAAGATTTCCCAGAGAAATGTTATTTTCTGATTTCTTCATTCAGCTTACTATCTTACTAACTAAATGCTGTGATGAACAGGCCCTTTCACTACACTTGAATTAATTAGTCTGCATTCAAATAAATGTATCCATGGCCTGCCCCAATAACAACTTGTTCTATTTTTCACCTGTAAGCCTGCAAATTTTGCAAGTATGGATGAAATACTATTTTAATCGGGATTGTAAAAGCTAGATCCGCTTGGATATAATACCAAATATGAATAACCTGAAGATGACAATATCTCCCAGCATGTTTCTCTACTCCTTAGGAGAGCATCTGTTCCTTTTCAATTGAACTGATATGCCTCTAAAGGATTCCATCATTGTAGTTGTTGACAGTGATTTGGTTTGAGATTTTCTGCTTCGCAAAGCAACAGGGAATTTTAAGCTAAGATAAAATATGACATGCCTTAATTTGATCTTTGCAGTTCAGTATGAACTGACCTAACTTGACCCTGAGGTCTAATGTAACCATTCCTTTAGACTGAATATTTCTGCAAAAGTTTGAGCATAGTTCTTAATTCAACAATATATGAAAATGTATTTTAATGTGTTTATTTTAAAACAAAATTATGCAAAAATATTATGTATCATTATAATGCATGTACTTTAAGTATGTATTAAAGGATATTTAAATATATCTTTAAAAAAATGAATAAGAAACTGGGTGGACATAGCAATAAAAATCATCTAGACCAGAAAGCAAGTTCTTGTGAAATGATTTTGCAATGCCTTAATGCAAATGTTAATTCTCTGATATGTGCAATTATAACTGATTGGTCATTTAGGTTCATCTAATTATTCACATCTTCCAGGCTTTGTCACAACAAACATTTAGGGTATAATGATTTTTAGTGATGTTGATTAGCATAAATGAACTTGATAAATTAATAGGTGATTTGACAAAGTAACATTCACTATTCCTGATGGTCAGAATTTTGTTTCCTGTTTTGGAACATGCAATCCAAAAAAATTGGGGGAGAATCTGGAGGGCAAACAGAGATAATGCTAGCAGTAATATGAAAAGGGAAAGCTGTGATTTTAATTATAGAGGTTCTTGCTCAACTTCTTTGACATCTAAAAATGTTTAGCTGTTGTTGTGCCTTCTTTAAGGGATGTGTATTAATTATTCTCTGTTTGCATATTTACACATAATCTTTGTAAAGAAGACTAGCATCAGAAAAAAAATCAATTTACACAGCCAGATTAAAATAGACCAGTGATGAGCAACTATGACTCCTTTACTACCTGTGGACTTCAATTTAACTCACCTCTGAGGCCATGGTTGTCAACCTCTGAATTAGACTCTCAATACTTTCTTCTTAGGTTTCTAACCATTTAGGAAATGGTGAATCACAACCACTAAAATGGCTACCAAAATTATATCCTTCATTTACTCCTCCCTCTGACTCAAATCTTTGTGGTATAACTATTATATTCTATGTTTCATATATTTGAAATATTGGTACCTCCTTTGATTCCTTTAAATGGATAGAAAAATGCTACCAGTAGATTCATAAGGACTGCAAGGTTGAATGAAATACTGCTCCAGAAGGACATGTTGCGGGAACACCAATACAAGATATGCTGAGCTGCAAAATCAGGAAAACAAATGTTTGATGAATTCAAAGGTATCTTTTAACAAGGAATAAATCTTAGAAACAAATATATATTGCCAGCTTTTCCTAGAATGACACAGTAGCCACAAGAGTAATCTTTATTATTTGATTTAAGTCTCTGTTAACTGCTCTTTGCAAAATTCAGAAGTTCGTGTGAAGGTTTTTTTTCCCCAGATAAAAGACCACATTAAACATGAACTAGCTTTTATATAACCATTTACACTTGTAAATACCATGAGAACAGAAATCACATGTATAAAATATCCACGTACAAGTTTATAGCAGCAGAATTTTTGGTTTCAGATTGAAACTGGATGTTGCAGGATATAATTTAACCTTAAATATCTTATTTTAATTTAATTTTATCAAATCACATTGTGCACACCTTCCAGATTGGAATACATAGGAGAAGATGCTTCCACCAAGGTGACAAAAACAGTGCTGCACAATCTGCTCCGCCACTATTTTTCACACATGTGGTGTGATGAGGTAAGGACAAAAAGAATTGTACAGTATTTAAGTCACAAGGGTGCAGTGCTGTTTTTGCCATTTATCCCCCTTGATTCTCTTTGTGCATGCTGTTGGGTTATACAACTGGGGGCAAACACATAGACACAAAATGCCAGAAAAGGAACATATTAAAATTTGTTACAAAATAACTCAGAAAATGGCCAAACTCAAACAAAACAAAACAAAAAGCTTGACTATAAGACCAAGTAGTCCAAAAAATCTTGTTACCTCTCATAAAACTTATAATAACCTTCTCCCCCCTCCCCCACAAACCAAGAGTGACAAATTATGACCCAGGAATCCTTTCACAGTCTATGTTGGCACAAGAAGACTATACTAAGATCCCAGGCTTTGGAGCAGCAGGTTCTTAGCAATAAACTGTAGGATTAGCCAGAATATAGCTGGCAGCAAAAGAGAACTGTGTTTTGTCTTAGTAAGTGACAAGTTCCCAGCCTGCGTTAAACTCACATTCTAATTACTTATGTACATTCCCTTGCTTTTCATATTCAGTTTAAACATTGACAGTTTATCTCGTTTGCGCACATAAAATCTGTGCACAAAGCTCCACTGACATTTGTACAGATCTCAACCTTTCCTTGAAAGCCTACTTCTTTTAAAACAATACAAATTGAAAACTTGCATTTGAAACAGGGTGCTTAAGGAGAATTTTTTTCCCCAGACAATCCAAATGCTGCTCATCACTGTAGCTTAGGAAGAGAAATCACAGAATTATAGGACTGGAAGGAATCTTGGCGATCTTCGGCCCCCTGCTTACGGAAATATTATGGAAGTAGCCCCCTACCTTTGGAAAAAGTGGTCTCACATTATGTGACAGAGCTATTTGTTTTCCACCTTCTTTTATGTATTTTTCACTACAGGATGCCTTCCCAAACCTTTATTTTATTTATTTTATATCATGATCCATCTGAAAATCAGACTCTGGCTAACTCATATAAGTATTGGGATTACAGCTCTCAAAATTCAGTCTAATACAACTGAGTCGGGGACCTGCGCTTTTTATGTATCTGAAAGATGCTAAAAAATGAAAGGCTAGTACATCTTAGAAAAAATACAGAGAAAAAAAAATCCAATCTGGATCAGTTACCGGGACCACTATGTATATACTAACTAGCCCCAAATGCACATTCTGCTAGAGAGAAGTCCTCCGAAGTTGGGCTCAACCATGAGTTTGAAAGCTCAGAAGACTAAACCTTTGCTCCTGATAATTGACCCTTATTGGATCCTGTGACATTATCCTGGGACGTGTAAATTTTGCTTTATTTATGAGGGAAAACAAAGTATCTACAAAATGATACGGTAACATGATTGCTTGACATGAAGATACTAAACAATGTCTATGCTTTCTAATGAAGCAATCAGGTGGGACTTTAAGTGTTTACACAGCAAGTTGTGCAGTTAAACTCTAACCCTAACAGTTAACTGAATCCCCACTACCTTCCACTCTTCAGAGTAAACATGACCAGAAAGGAAATCCTTCTTTTTCCTACTCCCCGCCCACCATACTGGTTGCATTTTAATTTGTGACACCCAGAGCTTCAAAACAAGCCTACAATGTTTTAGGCCAGGGCTGTCAAACTGGTGGCCGGCAGCCAGATGCATCATGTGCTGGCCATGCCCACCCCCGGTTTAATGAAGGGGGGGAATTGTGATATGTCATGTAACAACATGTTGTCACACGTTTAACACTCCTGTTGTAGGCTGTCAAACAAGATGAGTGATGAGACTGTTATATTGTACAGAATGACTATCCTTCATTAAGCCTTAGATGGGAAGGAGCTCTAGAGAACATAGTATCAAATATGATATGTATACAATACATAGTGTGTATATGTGTTCCACTGGTTTTAAATATGAACCTATTTTTTAAATAATGTTCTGGTGGCCTTTCAGCTCCAGCGGTCCTTGGAGGAAGCTAGCTATCTCGACCCATTCCAGTCCGGCTTCAGGCCTGGCTACAGCACAGAAACCGCTTTGGTCGCATTGACCGATGACCTCTGGAGAGCCAGGGATGGAGGCTTTGCCTCCATCCTGGTTCTCCTTGACCTCTCAGCGGCTTTCGATACCATCGACCATGGTATCCTTCTGCGACGACTGCGGGAGGTGGGGGTGGGAGGCACTGTTTTGCAGTGGTTCTCCTCTTACCTCTCGGACAGGTCGCAGTCGGTGTTAGTTGGAGGGCAGAGATCGACCCCTAGGCCCCTAACATATGGGGTGCCGCAGGGTTCGGTCTTGTCCCCCCTACTTTTCAACATCTACATGAAACCGCTGAGCGAGATCATTCGGCGGCACGGGATAAAATACCATCAGTATGCGGACGATACTCAGTTGTATCTGTCCGCCCCGTGCCAACTCAATGAAGCGGTGGACGTGATGAACCAGGGACTTGAAGCTGTTAGGGACTGGATGAGGGCTAACAAACTCGTGCTCAACCCAGATAAGACTGAGTGGCTGTTGTGTTTCCCTCCCACCAATTCGGCAAGTATTCCACCTCTCAGGCTGGGGGGTCAAACATTATACCCCTCAGACAGGGTCCGCAACTTGGGAGTCCTCCTGGACCCACAGCTGACTTTTGAACACCATTTGTCAGCTGTGACCAGGGGGGCATTTGCCCAGGTTCGCCTGGTGCACCAGTTGCGCCCCTACCTGAACCGGGAGGCTCTCACAACAGTCACTCGTGCCCTTGTGACCTCTAGGCTGGAGTACTGCAATGTGCTCTACATGGGGCTGCCCTTGAAGAGTATTCGGCGACTTCAGCTAGTCCAGAATGCGGCCGCGCGAGCGATTGTGGGTGCACCTCGCTTCACCCACATAACACCTATCCTCCGCGAGCTGCACTGGCTACCTGTCAATCTCTGGGTGCGCTTCAAGGTGCTACTTGTCACCCATAAAGCCCTACATGGTAGTGGATCTGGGTACTTGAGAGACTGCCTACTGCCAATTACCTCCACGCGACCTATTAGATCTCATCGGTTAGGCCTCCTCCGAGTTCCATCTGCCGGTCAATGCCGACTGGCAACTACGCAGAGGAGAGCCTTCTCGGTGGCAGCTCCGACCCTATGGAATGATCTCCCCATGGAGATTCGTACCCTCACCACCCTCCAGACCTTCCGCACAGCCCGCAGAATCTGGCTATCCCGTCAGGCCTGGGGCTAAGACTGTAACCCGCCCGAATATGAATGTTGTGTTTTTTAATTATGTATTGTCTTATATGTTAAAAGTTTGTCTCCCCCTCCCCTTTGGGTTGTGAGCCGCCCTGAGTCCCCCCAGGGAAAAGGGCGGCATATAAATAAATAAACTTCAAAACTCAAACTTTTCTAAATCTGTGATTCAGGAAATTGCATGTGCTGAATGAGATAAGACTCATTTACCTCAGCAATATCTATAATGAACTAAACATACTATTTTAATATTTCTGCTCGCAAAATAGATGCACTTTGACTGAGCAATCAGAAAAAAATCCAGAGAATGTGGCGTTTGGATAACCTTTTTAGTCACCTCAAAGGGATGTATCTTTCAGTATTTCTTTTAGAATTCTTTTTTAGTATTCCTTCCCTTTCTTTCTATCCTCAAATTGTAGCTGAAACGATATAGAAGCCATCAGATGTAAACTTGCATGAAAGCAATGCAGGTAGTTCTTAACTTACAGCCACTTATCTAGTGGCTGAAGTTAAAACAACCTGGAAAAAATGACTGGTTATTACATAGCATCCCCACAGTCACATTATCAAAACTGGGGCACTTGGGCAATGAACATGTATTTGCAATGATTGCTAGTATCATGGCGCCGTGTGATTGCCACCTGCAAACTTCTCAGACAATTTCTGACAAGCAAAATCAGTGGGAGAATCTGGAGTTACTTAACATTCCCATGATTCTCTTAACAATTGCAGTGGTTCATTTAACAACTGTGGCAAAAAAAAAATATTGTAAAATCGGGAGTGATTCATTAACAACAGCCTTACTTAGCAATAGAAATTCTGTTCCCAATTGTGATTGTTAAATCAAGGATTATCTATATCACACAAGAGAGGTGTGAATTCCTGTAAGTTTTATTTATTATTATTTATAGTTCCACCTTAGAAGTAACTTGGCTAGATAAGCAGAATTGAGGGACAGTTGGCATTGCTATGTGCTCCACAACAACAACAACAACAACAACAAGCTAGTAGATGCAACATTTATTCCATCTTATTCCAGAATTGCTTTAAAATAAAGGAGACTAATATAAATAAAACTAAAACTGCTAGAAGTTAGTTGTATAGTTTAACCATAAGGTTGCAACCTGCATAAAGATCTTTGAACTGAGTTGATAGCCTGGGTTCGAGATCTGAGCACCCTTCAATGGGATGAGCTCCCATACCTTGCCCCAGATCCTGCTAATCTAGCAGGAAAGCATGCATATGCAAGTAGATTAATAGGCACCACTTTGGTGGCAAGGTAAGAGTATTTGTGCCTCTAGCATATAGCCATGTTGGCCACACAACCACAGAAAATGACTTTGTACAGCACTGGCTCCTTCAGCCAGCTCCCTCCAAGAAATGGAGAAGAGTATCATGCCTTAAAGTCAGACATGACTGGACACGGTTAAAATCATTCAGCTGCTTCCTTGTACTCTATATTTAAAGCATTATTTGGGGATATAATGTAATGGGAAATAAAAATAAGTCACAAGCAGTGTTCAAGCAAAGCTTTTCTAGAAACCTGAGTGCAGGATGTTTGTATGTAAAAAAGGAAAGGAAAGTAAAAGGGAAAGGGAAAAAAGAAAAAAAAAAGCAACGAAAGTCTAATATTCCTTTTTTTTTTCCCCAGGGAAAAAGTTTGCAATTTTAGTTCAGGAATTACTATACAATATCAAATGATAATCTTTTGTGTTCCCAACCCAAACTTACCTCTCAGCTTTTTTTGCCAGTTCATTTCATTAAAAAGGTCCTCAGAACTCATAAAGAAATCATTGATTTTGCTGCCTTGCTCATCCCTTTCTGTAGTGTAGTACACCCGGAGTTTAGATTCTTTGGTGAGGAACTCACATATACTGGGCACAGGGAAGACTATTTGCTCCATAGTACGATCCGATCTAACTATCTACAGAAAGAGTTTAAAGAGTTAATTTGCATGGTGTATGGTCACAATGAGATTATATTATTTTTCAGTATGCAAAACTTCCTGGAACTCTTGGTATTTTTTAAAATAAGTGCTGATTTGCATTCCTGTTAAACACTGTTAGTTCTATTGCCACCATTTCTTTTCACATTTCAAGTCACCAAGGAAAAGGAAGTTATTTCCTCATCAGAATTGTTACAAAATTATATTATTCCAGTTGTTAGTCAAGCATTACTTGGGTAGATGGATAATTATCCTTTCTTCCATCCATCCGTCCTCCCACCCTCCATCTTGTTCCTACTGAAATGATTTGGCATACAAAAAGTCATAAAAAAACAAATCAATCTGCACTGGTCTCTTCCATCCAAAGTCTCTTTGGAATCAGGCAATACCTAAATCAAATCAAGCCAATATAATCACTTCTTCCTATTTTTAAACTGATTCCATTAATAAAAATATAAGAAGATGATTCTGTGAAAATGCAAACACGTACATTTCCCCAAAGCACTAGTTATTTTTGTTTCATAAAAACACTGAATTGGGGGAAAATTTCAGAGTGAGCATTTGACTGGGGCAATATGAAAGATGTGTGTGATTTAAGAGTTTGAGGTATTTTATAATATTGCTTGAGAGACAAATTTTGTATGTGAAGCCCCAAAATATCATGAAACTGGTGCATGACTTTCATGAACCTGACAAGCTGCTCAATAGCCAGAGAAAAAAGTAATGGATAATACAGTAGCTCTTTAATACCATCTTCTGGAATGGACATTTTGTAGAATCTAGAGTCTGTGCTGTATAGCTCAGTACAGAGGTAGGTTTCTATCAGTTCACACCGATTTGGGCGAAGTGGTAGTGGTAATTTGGCCTTGGTTGCGGAACCGGCAGTGACCCAGGCTGGCCACGCCCCTGAACTGGTTCCCTGGCCATCATTGCCTTTGCCAGCATGTTTTTAAATAGTTTTTTATGTTCTTCGCACATGTGCAGAACAATTTAAGGTGTGCTGTGCACACACACACACACACACACACACACACACACACACACACAGCAAAGCATGTGCGAAGCAAACTGGTACCAACACCGGTAGAAACCTATCCCTGGCTCAGTAAGTCTATATATTAGCAATACCAATAGCACTTAGACTTATATACGACTTTACTGTGCTATACAGCCTTCTCTAACTGGTTTACAGAGTCAGCATATTACCCCAACAATCTGGGTTCTCATTTTACCCACCTTGGAAGATGGAAGGCTAAGTCAACCTTGAACCTGATGAAATTAGAACTCCCAAATTGCAGGCAGCCAGCAGTCAGCAGAAATAGCCTGCAGTAATGCACTCTAAGCACTGTGTCATGGCTCATATTGAAGGAAACAAGATGTTCCTAAAGAGCCAATTCCTTTGCCTTTCTTAATACTATTTTATTTCCACTGTAAGAAGTCCCTCATGCTTAACCCAATACTTTTTCTGAAGTATAATTTCAGCTTGTTTACTTAAAAAAAACTACAATAGCCCAATCAAAACACATTTTCAAAGTGTTAGCCTTTTTTTTTTTTAAGAAAAAAGAAAAAGGAAGTAGATTCATATTTGGAAGAACTCACATTCATTAAAGATTGAGGGGATTTTTTTGTAACTAGGTATTCAGGACATGCAGTAGAATTCAATTATTATTTTACTAGACTGTATAAGATCTACATCACATTGTTACTTTTCTTTTTACAGTTCCATTTAAGATTAATTAGATATAATTTGAGGTATTTACCTCAATTTGAGCTGTATGCTTGGCATAGAATTCTAAAGCTTCGTCTCCATCTATTTGTCCTCCAGGCTTCAACATGTTTTGCAATTCTTTGTTGTGGCGAGCAAGCTAAAATAAATGAACAATTATGAAGAACAGGAAGTTTGCCCATGTCTCCTACTTAAAAAAATAAAACAAAGCAAAACTCAGAACTATTGAAAGACTCATTTGCAAAATAGAGAAATAGATGATTTTACTTCAAAACAAATCAGATATTGACTTGGTCAGATCAAAACCAATGTTAAATCATCAGTACTAATACTGTACTAGATACAGTACTACTGCATGGTACTACTGTAAATAGGGAACAGACCATGCTCACTAGCACTGATGATGTTACCTAGTCAGTTAATGAAACATCTGCAAGCAAACAACAAATCTAGAGAAAATCAAGACTCCTCTCTCCTGTCTTTTTAATACAATACAATAGCAGAGTTGGAAGGGACCTTGGAGGTCTTCTAGTCCAACCCCCTGCCTAGGTAGGAAACCCTATACTGTTTCAGACAAATGGCTAAGACTCTTCGTTAGAGTCTAGTTTAAAATTCATCCCCCCAAAGTTGGCAAGTTAAATATGAGAAAGACCACACAAAAAGTACAACTCTTACTTTGCAAAAAGCCACTATTCAACAAACCTTTCTGTCGTTTATGAATAATGTTAAAACAACCTTTTTGGGAAATGAAAACAGTTTGGTTCTATTTTCAATCTGTGAGTCACTAGGACCAGAGGTTCTCTCTACCAGAATGTGTGCTTTGGGCTATAGTGTGTGATGCATTTATATGGTACTTGCTGTATATGGCTTTTTAAATGTTGATTGGGGTATTGATAGCTTGCTATTAAGTCATTGGCTGTTGTTTTAACATTATTC